ACGCATGGCTAAGTAGGACATCTACAAAACTACATTTCGCACACATGAGGGCCACTACGAGTTTCTTCGCATGCCCTTTGGCCTCACTAATGCGCTTGCCACCTTTCAGGGAATCATGAACTCAGTCCTAAAGGTATTTTTATGGAAGTTTGTAATTGTTTTCTTTGATGATATTCTAATTTACAGCTAATCATTGGAAGAGAATTTGCATCACCTACGGGCAGTTTTAGACTGTCTACAGAACAACAACCTGTATGCTAAGAGTGAAAAATGCTCCTTTGCTCAACCTGAGGTCGAATATCTAGGCCATGTGGTGGATGCAATAGGTGTCAGGCCAGATGAAGGAAAGATTAAGGTGATTAAGGAATGGAAGGAACCTAAAACAGTTAAGCAGCTACACGGTTTCCTTGGTTTAGCCAGGTACTACAGTAAGTTTGTAAAGGGCTTCTCCCATATAGCTGCTCCATTAACCGCCCTTCTACAGAAGGATTCTTTTAAGTGGAATGCACAGGAAACACAAGCTATGGATCGGTTGAAGGAAACACTGACTAATTATCCAGTATTTGCCTTACCCGATTTCACCAACCCTTCGTGCTCACTACAGATGCATCTGGCATTGGTATTGGGGTTGTGCTCATCCAAAACAATCAACCCATTGCCTATTTTAGCCGCAAGTTAACCTCAAAGATGCAGCAAGCCTCCACTTATGTCAGGGAGCTATTTGCCATCACTGAAGGAGTGGCCAAGTTTCGTCAGTACTTGCTCGGCAACAAATTTACTATACAGACTGATTAACGCAGCATCAAAGAATTAATGTCTTAGGTCATCCAGACACCTGATCAAAAACGCTTTTTAGTCAAATTATTGGGCTTTGACTATAGTATCGAGTATCATCCGGGAGCGATCAACAAGGTTGCAGACGCCCTGTCCAGAGTGCATGAAGGGGAAAAGGGGCCTGAATTCGAATCATCCGAGCTTCTGACCATGACCACTTTGGTCAATCCCCTGATGGCATCCATCAAAAGAGAAGTTACTGAGAACTCAGAATTAAAAAAAATATTAGTAGCTATTCAAGAGAACAGAGAGGGGTTCGAAAACTATCAGCTAAAGGATGGACTCATCTTCTTCAAAGGGAGGATTGTTGTAGCCAGCAACTCGGAGCTCCGCACCACCCTACTTCACGAGTTCCATTCCACAGTAATTGGTGGTCATGGTGGGATCCGTAAGACGATGTATCGCCTTTCCAACCACTACTACTGGCCAAATATGAAGTTTGATGTGCAAGAATTTGTACGCCCTTACCAAGTATGTCAGGTTACAAAATACCAACCCCTTTCTCCTGCTGGCCTTTTACAGCCCCTTGCTATACCGAAAGCCGTGTGGGAAGACCTCTCTATGGACTTCATCGTCGGGTTGCCACCATCGGAAGGGAAGACATCTATTATGGTGGTTGTGGATCGTCTTTCTAAATACTCCCACTTCTCGGCCTTAACAGGAGATTTCATAGCTTCAAAGGTAGCAGCTGTTTTTGTGTCAGACATCTGTCTTCATCATGGCGTTCCTCTCTCGATTGTCTTTGATCGAGATCGTATTTTCATCAGCAAGTTTTGGCAAGAGTTGTCAAGGTTTAGTGGTACACAACTCCATTTTAGTACTGCGAATCATCCAGAAAGTGATGGTCAAACGGAGGTCACCAACAGAGGATTGGAACAATATTTAAGGTGCTATGCGATGGACAATCCAAAGGGGTGGGTTTGGTACTTACCTTGGGCTGAGTTCTCCTACAATTCCTCCTTTCATTCTGCCATTGGCTCCACTCCGTTTCAAGTCCTCTACGGACGTATTCCCCCACCATTGCAACCATATGAACGAGCTTCCTCAGCAATCGAAGCAGTCGACACCTTGCTGCACCAATGGGATCCAATTCTGAGACAACTCAAAGATCACCTACACAGAACACAGCAACACATGAAGATCCAAGCCGACAAGCACCGAAGGGATGTGCAATTTACAGTGGGTGAACAAGTTCTGGTTAAACTTCAACCTTGTCGTCAAAAATCCGTTCGCAATCAAACTTTCTCCAAGCTTCGACGACGGTACTATGGCCCCTTTCCGATAACTGCACGGATCGGCCCAGTAGCTTATTGGCTCTCCCTCCCAACCGGATCTCGTATCCATCTGATTTTTCACGTCTCGTTATTGAAGCCTTTCCGTCAAAATTTATTCTTTCATCCACTGCCGTTACCACCGGTGACATGGGATAACCACCCAGTGACTGAACCGCTGGCCCTTCTGCGTTCACACACCGTGTCGAAAGGGAAAGATTCAGACTTGCAAGTGTTGGTGCAGTGGAGCGGACTTCCTTTGGAAAATGCTTCTTGGATGCCAATCACCGAGTTCACTAGGCATTTCCACAATTCGATCTTGAGGGCAAGATCAAGTCTTTAAGGGAGGAGGGAATTGATACGACTCCAGGACAAGAAGGGAGAGATGAGAATGTGGGTACTGGAGAAGAAGACCCGTTGACTGTAAACAAGGAAGAGGGAAGCGGTGGAGAAGGTCCTAGAAGGGGGACACGGGTTAAGATGAGATCCAAGTGGGTAAAGGATTATGTGCTGGAGTAATGTGGGCTTAGCTGTAACCGAAGCCCAATTGCTAGCTGAGTCAGTAGTGAGTTTAATAAAGAATGGGCCACGTCCGTAAGGCCTAATTGCTGATTGTTGAGTCTGTTATTCAGTTCAAATAGGAGTCACGTTTCTTGCATAGGGTATTGAATATTGTAATAGAATCTTCTTCTTCTTCTCTTTGAATTTCTTGGAGTTTCCAGCAAACTCGAATTGCTGTTGAATTTCTTTAATACATCGTCTTTCAATTTCAATTGTGTGTTGAGTCTATCATAAACTATACGTGTACTGTATAAAATATGAACCATTCAAAAAAGTTACATAATTGCATTAAAGTGTTATTCAATAGTTTACCTAAAAATACACAAAAGGTACATGAAATTTTTACTTTCGATCAAAGATTTTTTCTTTTATCAAAAAGATAACTGCCCTTAAATTTATGTGAACCTAAAATCCTAAGAAATCCGCTTAAAATATGCTCTTGATATGGCTACATGAGTCTACCACGTATCGTCTGTGAGGTGGAAATTTCCTTTCCACCAAAAAAATAAAATAAGAATTCCTTATAAGTTGTGTTAGAAAAAGCTAGACCTTAGATGCTCGAGTTCTACGCACTGTAATATATTTTCTAATTGTTAATCTATAAAGTATAAACTACACAAATTCAGAAAATGTTTGGTCAAACGAAAGCGTTTACCAGTTCTAACACATTTCTCATTTTTCATACGCGCGTGTTGATTCTATGGCAATTTTCTACACGGGGGAAACATCTCCTACATTTCCTCCTTGGCCCCTTACCATTTTGTCATCAACTCTCTAGAAAAAAGTCTGCGTTGAACATTGACCAAGAAAAGAATTTGAAGTAACACAGCAGACAAAAACTTATTTACTAATGGCATTGAGAAATAAAACAAAATCTTATATTTTAATAGAAGATATATCATTAATATCCACCTTATATCAATTTACTCTAATATAAAGCTTAAATTCTTAGTTTTTCAATTCTTCCATCAGGTCACACATCTTCAACTTTGTTATTCAGATAAAGAAACAAAAATATTAAAAATTTATATTTTGAAAAATTAAATAGAAAAAAATTATTTTATAAGAGATCAAAGTGATACACGTATTGTTCAGGAACTTAAATAAAATTTTAGTATTCTTTCAATTTTTTTATATTTGTTTCTTAAATTTAATGTATAAAAATTAATAAAATTAATAAATAAATTTGATTATAAATGAATTAATAAAGTACTTAAATTATTACTATCATCTTTTTAATTTTTTCTCACTTATTGATATATAAATAAATGGGAGGGGTTATACTTACTACCTAATTTTTTTTACTACCTGTTATTATCAAATCTTAATCATTGATTTTCGTCAATCTAATGGTTGTAATTTATGGGGTCATACTTATTAATTAATTATTAATTTACAATAAATTACAATCGTTAGATAGGCGGAAATCAATGGTTAAAATTTGGTAGTAACAGGTAGTAAAAAAAATAGGTAGTAAGTATAATCTTTTCCTAAATAAATGTAGAGAAAAATAATTAATATTTTATCAATTTTTTAATAAACAGAAAAAAGAAATAGAAATGCTTTTCAGAAAGACATACAAAACAAGAAAGAATTAAAAGTGCTGAAAGTGAGATCATAAAAAAAAATGCTGAAAGTTCAAAACACGTAAATCATTATATTGTGTCAACCTCATATAATTTCCATTTTAAAATTTTCAAATATTTTATATTTTTAAAAGATAGAGAAGTGATCTTTTATTTAGTGCTTTAAAAATCGGGGTATTTTTTTTTTTAATACATTGAGAAATCAAACATACACTCTATTACATAACTATTTATATCTCTCACCACTAAGTTAAGCTTGAGGTATTATTATTTTAATCATTCAAAGTTTTATTATTATATTAGTTTTTTAAATATTAGAAGCAACATGTTACTTTTAAAAAAGGATACCAAAAATAAAAATGTTACTTTTAAAAAAAAATCGTTATCATGATTCATGAAATTAACTTTTTAAAACTACAAAATAATCACTGAATTTGTATTTCTGTTATTATTTCCATTTTCTATAAACATAAATATAACAATATTTAATATTTTTAACAAATTAATTTGATTACAAAATTTTAAGAGATGAATGTAATGATACTTTGATAATAAAAACTCAGAAGATTAACAAACAATAAAAAAACTCACAAGATTAACGTAATCAAACCTTACTATTTACAGCATCAAGTCAAGATTTTAGTGAAATATTAATGAATTAAAACAGACAAATTATTAAAAAAACAAATAGCCATTATTCTTAATTTAGTCTTCAATTTGCACCCAAAACACACCTTCCACACAAACCTGCAAAGAGATAGACAATGCCGATCCATTTTGTGAGTTGTTTCCTCGTTCCCTTGCTTTGACTTCATACTTGGTCTGCAACTTCGCAAGCCAGTGAAGCCACCTTGGTTTTTAATCTCATTCACGACCTAGGCACAATCTTAGCATCTAAATATTACTTTTTCCTCTTCCAAATCAAGACTTGATTTAAAGCATAAGCTCCTGCTTTATGTATCACAATTTTCCTACGATCGAGCATCAATCTTAATCTGGGTGTTAGCTATTGTGCTGCTACTAGTGTGAAACTTCAGCTGAAACCCAGGTAACCAAAACTTTTTGCATACTGGTCTGGCTAGATATATTATACTTAAAAATTGCAACTTTTCATTTGGGTGTTTGTAATTTGTACTCATTAGTACTGGATCTAAGCCAAAGTTCACATCTTTCTTTCTTATTCCTCAAGCTAGGCACGGATCCAATAGAGCACAATCTTGTCAAATTTTGAAACTTTGCTATTTTGGGCTCATTTGTTGAGGTTTAGGACTATTTGTGATTGATTGGAGGGAGAGGAACGAGAGAATAACCTGATCCCTTGTTATTTCGGATTCTACTTGTTAGAAGCTGGATTTGATCTTTTTGTGTTTCTGAGCTATCAATATGGGAGGGCAATCCAGCAAGATGACTGGTGCTGATTCACCAACATCCATTAAAATGGGTGCCCATTCACTTTATGCAGCTGATTTGAGCTCCTATGAAGCTGCATGTGTGAAAGATCCAAGCTTGCAGTCCTTTGATGTGACCATTCAGGAGCACACTAACAGGGTGATTAGTTCCCTTGCTCATGGGGTTGAGGTTCGTTCTTTATCTTTTGACTCACTGAGAGAAGTGACTGACAGTCTGCTTGAGATGAATCAGGAAGTTGTTAAAGTTATTTTGGATTGCAAGAAAGATATATGGGGAAACAAGGACTTGTTCTCCTTGGTGAATGATTATTTTGAAAATAGCCTCAAGACATTGGAATTCTGTAATTCTCTTGAGAAATGCTTGAGGCGAGCACGCGAAAACCAGGTGATAATCAAGTCCGTAATTACCTACTTTGAGGAAGAGGTGCAAAATGGGGTTGAAGGAATGGCGTATGTGAAGACATTGCAAGAGCTTAAGAATTTTAAGGATGCTGGGGACCCCTTTACAGAAGAGTTTTATTTATTGTTTCAATCAGTTTACACGCAGCAGGCATCAATGTTGCAGAAATTGCAAATCAGAAAGAGAAAGCTTGATAAGAAATTGAAATCCCTCAAGACATGGAAGAGGGTGTCAAGTGCTATTTTCGTGGCTGCTTTTGTTTCTGTGTTGATTTTCTCTGTGGTGGCAGCTTCTGTTGCTGCACCACCTGTTGTAACAGCTTTGGCTGCTGCATTGGCTGTTCCAATAGGGTCCGTAGGAAAATGGTGCAACTCACTTTTTAAGGGCTATGAGAAAGCTCTAAAGGGACAAAGGGAAGTAATCAGCTCAATGCAGGTTGGTACTTACATTACATTGAAGGACTTGGACAACATTCGTGTACTTACCAACAAGTTGGAAGTAGAACTTGAATCATTATTGCATAATGCTGAATTTGCTCTCAGAAACGAGGATGTTATAAAGATTGCAATCGACGACATTAAGAAGAAAATAGAAACTTTTTCAGAGACCATTGACACTTTAAGTGCACATGCTGATAAATGTAGTCGGCAGATAAGGAGAGCAAGGACCGTGGTTATACAGAATATAATTAAAAGACCTGATTGAGATCCCTTTGGAATGTTTTATTGATTACTTTCTCTTGCTGGTATCTTCCTTTGCTCCAATTAAGAAGTACTGATTAAACTCCTTGATCATAAGATGCCTTATAAAGAGAAATGAAGATAGAACTTGTGTAGAACATTTCTATCCATCCTATGTATAGATATTTGGATTATACATAATTACAAATATATTTGCTGCTATGTTGTTTCTGATTACTCTGTTGCTAGATGCAATTGGACATCATCTATAGGCAATAATATTGAAATCATGAGAAGCTCACAGAACAAAGTCTAGGATTGTTGATAGTGAAGTGTAAGTGCAGCCTATGGTGGACATATCTAACGGAGCAGCTTCATGATTAGGAGATGGTAAGTATCAATTTTAAAAGGCGGAGTATGAGATCCAAAGAAAATGAAAAAATTTCTCTATGAATTGAAGTATTGATATATAAACTAGTTTTCAATCTTTGACATCTGCATTCTCAAGTTGCAGCACATGTTAAATAATTGTTTACCTAATATTTTGTTGTCAGTTGTTTCTATTTCGGTACATGGAAGTGAAATGTAAAGATGCTTGCTCGTATGATATGCATTTCTTGATTGAGATGATCTTGATAATGATTGTGAACACTTAGTTTTTTAATGGTCATTTCACCTTTATACATTTCAAGATGATGATTGATAGGATCTTGATGATGATGCTTACTTTTATACATTTCAACTTAGATCAATGCTTCTTTTCGTTTTTCCTTCTTTACAGAGAAATCCATTAAGCCACCTCATAAAGAAACGTGGCTTTGTCCAATTGCATGGGAGAATGAAAACCTCTAAACATCTATCAAAACTTGGCCCTATGAAAACGTGAATGAGAAGTGAGGCGGTCTTTTGGGGTGTTTATTTTTCTTTTCTCTCCCCCCCCCCCCCCCCCCCCCCCCCCCTCTCTGAAGTTTGCAGCACCAAAGGTAAGTTATATCACTTCATCTTTTGCTGCTGAAACACATGACAATGTGACTGCATTGATGGAGTGTGAACTGGGGTGTGAGCACTCTTGATCAAATATTTTCTATGATTACGAGGACAAGCATTGAAGCAGCTGTAAGATTGTTATTTGTGATTAAACATCATGAATTAAAGTATTAGAAACGACTTCTTTGCAAAAAAATATAAGAGTAAGACTGCCGATAATCAACTCTCATCCCTGTACTTGCAGGTTGGAGAGTTTTGTTCACTGGCATTTGTCCTTTTTTGTGAACCATTCAACCCTCATCTCTATCTTTACAAGTCGGAGTCTTATGAATGGGGATTTGTATTTTTTATGAACCATTCATTGTGAGCCTAGAACGGTGAAAAAGCTATTCTTTTATGACTGAACTGTTAAAAACTTTGAGGTCACCACCCCAAAAGCTAGCTCAAAGGGTGAGAGTGTTCAAGGTCTTATAAACTCCACATTAGTTGCTCTTCAACCAATGTGGGACTATATATCTCAACACGCCCTCTCACGCAAGAGCCCTCTTGGCTTGAAGCGTGGATTATGCAACAGGCTCAATCTTTGGTTTATCTTTTTTGTGCTTTCACTTTAAAGTGGGGAGCTGTGAGGATTGAACCTCAAGCTTTGATACCATGTAAAGAACCTTGGGAGTTGTCCATACAACCAATGTGAGACTATATTTCTCAACATCAACCTTGGATTTCAACCCAGGAGCAACTAGCAACAAGCAGTCACTTCTGCTAAAAGATAGTTTCCTACCAGCACAAAACTTCATCCTTGGTCTCATTGCATAAACCTCCCACTCAGCAATTGTATAACACCAAAGTAAAAATGACACTCCTGTAACACAACTCCAATCAGGTCCTCTCCACTTCAACCATGAAGCAGCAATTTTTACTATTTTTTTTTTTGGAAAATAGGGGAGGCACATGCACAAGTCCAGGAAGAAAAACTATGAAGTCGAAGAATTACAAACTAGGGGTGTGTTTGAATGTGTTTTTGTTTTTTTGTTTTTAAAAATTGTTTTGAAGATAAATTTTGAAAACTGATTTTGAGAGTAAAAAAACAATAAAACTTGTTTGAATATGGTTAGTTTTAAAATTATAAAAAAGTTGTAGTTATTTATAAAAATGCCATTAATGAATCCTCAAATTTACAAAATTGCCACCGTAAAATAATTGAAAATAAAAATAAAAATCCATTAATTATGAAAATGCCATTAATGAAACTCTATAATTACAGAAATGCCACCGCACAAATCAGAAAACAAGAAACTGCTTTGAAAAACATCATGTACCTGTTTTGCCTTTTCCGTTTTCAAAACAAGAAAACAGTCATTGTTTTTAGAACAGATCCGAAGAAAAACTCTTTCCAAACAAATTTTTTTGTTTTATTGTTTTTAAAAATTTAAAAACTGTTCTGGGAAGAGAAATCAAACAGAGCCTCTTCTCTAATATCTCTTTTTTGGTAAATAAGGAGAGCACAAGCCCGGCAATATTTACCATTTTTTAATTTCAGATAAAGTATTTATTTTGGGATTAACTATATTGCGAGCCAGCCTTAAATGAATTATCAAAATAATAATACACTTCCTCATGAAATATTTAAGTAAAAATCTTAATAAAATTGATTAGTTATATTTGAAAAATAAAATAAATATAATATAAACATCAATCTATATTATTATAAAAATATTTATAAAATATTAAAAAGATTGTATATAAATAACAAATTCTTAATGAATGAAATACAAAATCTAGATGTAAAGAATTTAAATTGAACTCATTGAAACGTAGATATTAAAATTTTTAAATACCATGTAACAATACGTATATAAGAAAGTTTATTTTAGTAAAAAAACTAATCAGCATAATTTTTTTTAGAAGAAACTACATTTTAATTTATCTATGTTATGCTTCATTTCACAAAAAGTTCCAAAACAAATATATACCAAAAAAGAAAGAGGAAAAGTAATAACAATATGAAAGCAAGCTACATCACAGAGGTAGAGTTTTCATTCCCGTGATATATATATATATATATATATATATATATATATATATATATATATATATATATATATAGGGACATGTTTTTTTACACCACATCTCAACCGTTGATGGACGAAAATCATCGGTTGGTATTTGTAGTGTAATTAATGATTAATTAATATTAATTATTTCGTATGACTTCCTAAATTATAACCGGTGTAAAATGATCTTGATATATATATATATATATATATATATATATATATATATATATATATATATATATATATATATATATGAGGTAGGATCCTTTGACACCAGTGTCAAATTTTAAATTTGACACCTCATCTGAGAGCCGTTAGATCAAAAAAGATCAGAGTCGTTAATCTTTTTTGATCTAACGGCTCTCGGACGAGGTGTCAAAGGATTCTACCCCTCTCTCTCTCTCTCTCTCTATATATATATATATATATATATATATATATATATATATATATATATATATATATATATATAGGTAGGATCATTTGACACCGGTGTCAAATTTCAATTTTGACACCTCATCTGAGGGCCGTTAGATCAAAAAAGATCAACGACTCTGATTTGCAAGCATGTGCAGTCGTTGATCTTTTTTGATCTAACGGCTCTTAGATGAGGTGACAAAATTGAAATTTGACATCGGTGTCAAAGGATCGTACCTCATATATATATATATGTAGAGCAGGACATTCTTACACTAGTATAAGAGTTAGGAGTCTTACTCCCAATCTTGATCATTGATCCACTTATATCAAATGACTCACATTACTAAAAAAATTAGAGCCCTTAGATATAAGTGAGATGTAGATAAGTGACCATATATCAATTCTACAATGAGATGTAGAAATATTAAGCCTATATAACCCTGAAATAAATTATAATTACAAAAATATTTCTACAGTGAATGTAGATAAGTTATCTACATTCACTCCCAAAGCGACGTCATTTTTTGTTGAAAAATTAAAAATTATAATGAGAAATACTATTATAACCCTGAAATAAATTATAATTACAAAAATACGTTGATTTCCATCTCAAAACGACGTCGTTTTGGCTCAATGTAGATAACTTATTTACATTGACTGGAAAAAAAATGAATCCGTATATATATATATATATATATATATATATATATATATATATATATATGAGAAAAATATTTCTCAATAGCTTATGGTTATAATTTCTTTTTTTTTTCTCTCTCTACCTTTATCACTATTGATATATTTTTATACGGTTATGATTTAGGGTGTGCATGACAACCTTCTCGAAATCAATTCTTTTTTAATTTTAGTTATCGGGAAACAATGTTTCTTTTATTAATTCATTCTTAATTCCCAATAGAAAAGAATTATTTCTTTTTAGAAACAATGTCAGGGAACATAATAGTTGTCATGCACACCCTTAGTAGTCGGAGATAAAGTTATTTCAAGCAACTTGAGAAACGATCGACCTCATATATATATAGGAGTAGGATTATTATTTCCGTCAATTAAATTATTAATTCATTCTTAATTCCCAATATATGATAACCATTGATTGACGGAAATTACGGTTAGGATTTGAAGTCAAATTTTAAAGTTTGACACTGAATTCAAAGGATCCTATCCCATATATATATATATATATATATATATATATATATATATATATATATATATATATAGACACACACACACACACATATATATAAGGGCAGGATATTTTTACTTCCTTTGTAAGAATAAGAAATCTTACACCAAATCCTAGTCATTGATTTGCTTGCATAACAACTCAAATATTTAATAAATTAGAGCCGTTAGATAATAATAGGATCGAAGATCAAGATTAAGAGTGTAATTTACACTGGTGTAAAACTTTCTTAACACACACACACACACACACACACACACACACACATATATAAGATCCTTTGACACAGATGTCAAACTAAAAAGTTTGACATCAAATCTTTGCCGTTGAATTTAGCCAATCTAACGATTTTTATTTATTGAGAATTAATAAGTGTGGCCCAATAAATTATAACTGTTAGATTCATGAAATCAACGACTAAGATTTGGCGTCAAACTCACATGTGTCAAAGGATCTTATATATATATATATATATATATATATATATATATATATATATATATATATATATATCAGGATCATTTTATACCGATGTAAGAATAATAAGTCTTACATCACATCTCAATCGTTGATGGATGAAAATTATCGGTTGGTATTTGTAGTATAATTAAGGATTAACTAATTAATTAATAAATTGTATCTAATAAATTATAACTGTTGATTGACGGAAATCAACAGTTATGATCTACGATGACACAAAATTATATATTTTAAAAGGACAAATATTTTTCCCATATATATATGCGAAAAATATTTCTCAAGTCACTTGAGATATATTTATCTCTGGTCATCCCAAAACTACGTCGTTTTGTTTATGTATTTCCTTATATTAATTGATTGACCTTTGAATGGTTATGATTCCCTTTTTCTCTCTTCCTCTATCACAATTAATCCATCTTTTTATGGTTATGATTTAGTGG